CACAGATGGGAATAGTGGCTCAGATTTAGAATACAGAGTTAGTGTGGCATATAGGTAGAATACACATAAGGGAAAGGGTAATTCACAGTTCTTTATACTAGAAATTCTTTTTCTCTTTGTAAAATCTTGAAACTCATGTCATGTTCATCTCTCTGCTATGAGGTATAATCCACTGGACTATCACAGTTGATTTCTTCCTTCAGGCCATAGGTGGTGCTCTTCTCTGCTGCAGGGGATCATATTCTTTGGATCTGGCTCCTCCTTTAGGTGGTTATCTTTCAGTTCCTATGTCTCATCTCAATGTGTTTTTCTACTCCAGACTGGATGTGTTGTTTCCTACTGGTCAAGGAACCTCAATGTCATGCTGGGCAGGGAGAAAGAAGAGGGTTTCTCCTTTCTTCCCTCTGGAACATTTGAAAGGATCCACCTACAGAAAACCCTCTCAAGCCTAGAATCTTCCCACTCCCATGTTGACTTGCTGCCGAAGGATGTGATTCATTTTTCTTGATCAATCACAAGAAGTTTCCCTGTGATGTTATTTAGATAAAAACATTTTATTATGTCACCACATTATATAATTTTATATTATACTATATATTATTATATATACCACATATTATTATATATACCAGGACAGCTAGGTGGCTCAGTGGATAGAGTACTGGATAGAGTAACTCATGTTCATGAGTTCAAATCTGGCATCAGATACTTACAAGCTGTATGACTCTGGTAAAGCCATTTATCCCTATTTACCTCAGTTTCCTCCTGTATAAAATTCTCTGGAGAAGGAAATCACAAAACCCTCCAGTATTTTTGCTGAGAAAATCTACAAAGGATTCACAAAGAGTTAGACACAAATGAAAAAATGACTAAACAACAATTACATTATATACCACTTTATTGTGTTTATGTGGTGTGAGATTTTGGTCTAAAACTAATTTCTGCCAGACTGATTTCTAGTTTTGCCAGAAATTCTTGTCAAATAGGTAGCTATTTCTCAGATAATTTATGTTTGGAGGCTTATCAACTACTGGGTTATTGAACTCAAATCTTTCTGATTCTTCTGTCTTTTCTGTTCCGTTGATCTCCTCTTTAAAAAAACAAAGTGGGCAGAGCCAAGATGGTGGAGAAAAGGCGGCAATTCACTTAAGCTCTCCCCCAAAGCCCTCCGAATACCTTTAAATAATGTCATAAACAATTCCTGAAGAGGCAAAAACCCACACAAGGATGGGGTGAAGTAATTTTCCACCCAAAGACAACTTAGAAGGTTGGCAGGAAAGGTCTGTTGCACCTGGGTGAGAGTGTAGCACAGTCTGGTGCAGACCATGCCATCATGTACTGAACCCCAGCAAACCAGGAGCAGGCCGTAGGAGCCACTAAGTCATCAATGGCTGCTGATGAGTTTTGTTTGTGCAGAGCTCCCAGCCCACAGACAGTAAAGGGGTTAAAAAACTAAGTAGAAGATTACAGGGGTCTCTTTGCTAGCACTGAGGGTAGGACTCTCTTGCTTTATCCATATTCAGGTCTGGGTCTCAATCCTGGGTGGCAGTCCCAGGGACAGGAGGAGCATTAGAACACCAAAGCTTTCAGCCACAGTGGAGCAAGGACCCTCATCACAGTTCCAGGGCAGAAAAGAATGCTTATGGTCACTCACAGACCAGAGCACAAGCCAGAAGGCTAGTAAATGTACCTCTCCCTAAATCAAACCACCTTAAAAGAACTGAAAACTTACAGGTCCCTAGAAGTGTTTCTGAAAATAGCTGCACAAAACCCCTGAAGCTTGGAATAGTGTGCCCTTCACCCTGGAAGCAGAGCCTCACTTTAACAAAGAATTAGAAGTCAAGAAATAGACTGGGAAAATGAGCAAACAGCAGAAAATATTCTGACCATAGAAAGTTACTATTGGTGACAAGGAATATCAAAACACACACTCAGAAGATGATAACAAAGTCAAAGCTCCAACATCTCCAAGAAAAATGTGAATTGGTCTCAGGACATGGAAGAGGTCAAAAAGAATTTTGAAAATCAAATAAGAAAGTTAAGGAAAAAATGGGAAGAGAAATGAGAGTGATGTAAAGAAATTATGAAAAAAGAGTCAACAGCTTGGTAAAGGAGACACAAAAAAATAATGAAGACAATAACTCCTTTGAAAACATATTAGACCAAATGGTAAAAGAGGTACAGAAAGCCCATGAAGAGAAGAATGTCTTGAAAAGAAGAACTGGCCAAATGGGGAAAAAAAGGCACAAAAATTCACTGAAGAAAAATTCTTAAAAAGTAGAATTGGCCAAATAGAAAAGGAGGTACAAAAGCTCACTGAAAAAAATAATTCCTTAAAAATTAGAATTGAGCAAATGGAAGCTAATGACTTTATGAGAAATCAAGAAAAAGTAAAGTGAAACCAAAAGAATGAAAAAATAGAAGACAATGTAAAATATCTCATTGGAAAAACAGCTGAGCTGGAAAATAAATCCAGGAGAGATAATTTTAAAAGTATTGATATACTTGATAGCCATGATGAAAAAAAAAGAGCCTGGACAGGTCTACAGAGCTGTTGTGCTGACCTCATTGTTGTATGCTTGTGAAAACTGGACAGTATACCAGCGCCACACCAGGAAACTGAATCACTTTCATTTCAATTGCCTTAGGAAAATTCTGAAGATTACCTGGCAGGATAAGATATCAGACAGAGGTCCTTTCTTGAACTAAACTGGTAAGCATACAAATTCTGCTTCAGAGAGTGCAACTCCAGTGCGCTGGCCACATTGTTCAAATGCAAAACATATGCTTGCCAAAAAGACTATTTTATGGAGAACTCACACAGAGCAAGCATTCAAGCATTCAGGGCAAGCATTGCACAAAACCCCTGAAGCTTGGAATAGTGTACCCTTCACCCTGGAAACAGAGCCTTACTTTAACAAAGAATTAGAAGTCAAGAAATAGACTGGGAAAATGAGCAAACAGCAGAAAATATTCTGACCATAGAAAGTTACTATCGGTGACAAGGAATATCAAAACACACACTCAGAAGATGATAACAAAGTCAAAGCTCCAACATCTCCAAGAAAAATGTGAATTGGTCTCAGGACATGGAAGAGGTCAAAAAGAATTTTGAAAATCAAATAAGAAAGTTAAGGAAAAAATGGGAGGAGAAATGAGAGTGATGTAAAGAAATTATGAAAAAAGAGTCAACAGCTTGGTAAAGGAGACACATGGTCTGAAAAAGTGAAACAGGGACACCCTCAAAGTCTCTCTTAAGAACTTTGGAATTAATTGTGTGACATGGGAGACACTGGCACAGGGCCACCCAGCATAGTGTGCCCACATCAGAGAAGGTGCTGTCCTCTACGAGCAAAGCAGAATTGAAACAGCTCAAAGGAAATGCAGGACACGTACATTTAGAGAAACCACCCCAAATATTCACATGGACTATTAACTTGTGGTAGAGCATTCCAAACCACAGTCAGACGAACTGAAACTTGACTCTAGTAAGTGATGTCATTTTGGTCCTCTTCAAGAACAAAGGACGACACCCAACCAGCATGTGTGGTATATAGGTTATATATGTGTAGTATGTAAGTTATACATGTGTAGTAGTATTTCCATATTAGTCGTGTTGTGAAAGAAAATATAGACCAAAATAAATACCTCAAGAAAAATAAAGGAAGTAAAAAAGTATACTTAAATCTGTATTTCAACACCATCAATTCTTTCTCTGGGAATACAGGGAAATAATGGGTCCTGGCTACACTTAGAGCCTTCTACCCAAGGGTGCTCCATTACCTTCCCCTGGAACTTCAGATGCAAGGTATCTCCTGTCATCCCTCCCAGTCACCCCGGGGTACACTCTGTGACTGCCCCTCTCCAACCCCACTCCAGGGGCCAAATCCCAGAAATCTGGAAACTCTAACATTGTCTTAAAAATCACAGCCAATTCAATCAAAAGACATTTATTACAGGCTTACTATGTTCCAGGTACTGTGGTGTGCCCCGGAGCTAGGGGTGGGTCATTTTAAGAAGTCTTGGGATTTATATTGTTTGGGATTCAGAGTATGGATCCTCCCCTCCACTGGAGTTTCTCATTTCCTCCTAAGTGCAATGTTTAGGCAAGGATTTGATTTGCCTACAACCTTGCACATAATCCGGAGGTGCAATTAGGAAATATTTCTTTTAAACTAAAATGGAAATATTGAAGCTAATCATCCTTTTACAAGTCTCCCAGAAGGAGAGGAAGATGACACCTGGGAGTTACCCACACCAAAGGGAGCTGAGGACTTTAGAAAATAGAGAGAGGAGTGGAGAATCCCTCAAGGGATGGGAGAGTGTGACATCGGCAGCCAGTTCCACGTTTGTACGCAAAAGGTTGAAGGCCCTTTACAATCCCTTAACAGCCTCTCCATACCATTAGGTGAAAACTTCTCCCCAGCATTTCTAAAGTGGGGTACTCCACACTAGGAATAGGGTGTACAGTTCTCTTTCCTAAACCTGCACCCTTAATAGCCCTCCCTCCTAGTCTCGCATTTACACACAAGGCACCCATGATGAACCTCCAACCAACCCTGTATACACATTTGCTTTGTATCCATAGAGCTCCTTTCTCGAGGCATACAAACCAGAAGAGCTTGACTAAGTGTCTGTGTATATGCCTGAGTGCTGGCCTTAGTATATGTGTGTGTGTGTGTGTGTGTGTGTGTGTGTGCGCGCCCGCCTGTGCATGACCTTGTTCGATTTTTTAACTAAGCTCCTTTGGGTGGTGTCATCTTCCATCACCTCTGTGATTGATTCCGCGAAGCTAATGGTGCGTAAAAGCGCCAGTGAGTTCCGGGGCGCCTCCTATCCTGACGTCAGGAAGAGAGTTTAAAAGGGGGGGAATGCGCCAGGAGATCCCACAAGCGGCTGCGGGAGAAGAGAGGTGGAAAGCCTTGGCCCTGCCCAGTCCCCTCCTGAAGGTTTCGGTGTTTGGACAGCTGCGCCCTCCTCGCCCTCTCAGTGCAGGAAAGATGCTGTCCTGCCGCCTCCAGTGCGCGCTGGCCCTGCTCTCCATCACCTTGGTGGTGAGCAGCGTCAGCGCTGCTCCCTCGGACCCGAGGCTCCGCCAGTTTCTGCAGAAGTCTCTGGCCGCCGCAGCAGGAAAACAGGTATGACAAAATCCACTTCTAGTCCTTTCCTCCCTCCACTTAAACCCCCAACCCTGCAAGCCTGCAGCTGCTTCTTGGTCCAAGTAGGTTCGAGGAGGCGCCCTGTCGAGTTTCACTGGGTAAGTGTCTCTGGATAATAAGGAGAAGGAAGAAGGGAGAGGGGACTTTCCTGCCCTGTGGTCTAAAGAAAACTCTGGGAGCTAATGGGAGTAGAGACTCAGGGAGGTAAACGAAGGTTTGCTTTGCACGCCTGAAGACACCTGACGCCAAGAACTTCCCAAGTCAGGAATTCCCAACTCTGCCTTTTTGGTCCCCATTGGAGTTTCTATGCTCCAAGAAGTCTTGGCCAGTCCCTCCCAGAAGTTGAGTCGCACCTTGGGGAACGAGCTGGCCAGTACCTTTGAGAATAGGGGCGACAAGGGAAATAGGAGGTCCCAAGGTCAGGGCTAACCACTTGCATCCTGAGGGGACAAAGGGGAATGTGGAACTGTCCCCGGTGCTGAAATACAGTTGGAACTGCTGTGGGTGCTGACTGCGCCCTCCAGGTGCACCAAGCAGCCCTGCGGAAAGTGGAAAAAGCTAAGTGAAGAGGAAACCACCCTAACACACTAACCACTGCTAATAAGCCTCTCTCCTGGCTTACAGTTGAATGAGACTCTCTCAAAAAGGTACTTTGTAATCTTTGGTGCAGTGCTCACAGTTAAGCATTGAGTTGAAAAAAATTTTAATAAATTATTTACCTTTATCTAATTGTGTTTGTTTGTTTGTTTTTGCCTAGTTAGATTATCTATGTCTACTTCTAGTTTTCAGGCACCCTAATATATCAGGAGATAAAAAGATCTAATAAACCTGAATGTTGAAAAGGGATGGAAATCTCAAAAGAATGTTCACTCTAATAGGATATGATTCAACAACTGTAATGTATAGAACTTGATAAAATAGGCATTTATCATCTCTTTTTAAAGGAACTAGAACTCTATAGCAAATGTTGAAATCTACTTTTGATTTTTATTCTTGACCAGATTTTATGTTTAAGAGTCCAGTCTTGGGAACTTGATAAACATCACAGATATTTGGATGAGTTGAATTTCTCCCAATAACAAGCTTTGCCCCGAATAACCAAGTTTCTAGATTTTTTGGCATCATATTCAATCTTCTCTTCTCTCTTTTCCTCTTTCCTTTGTCTCTTCCTTCTTTCCCAACCTATTTTGTTTTCTCTCTCCATTTAGGAACTGGCCAAATACTTTTTGGCAGAACTGCTGTCAGAACCCAGCCAGACAGAAAATGAGGCTCTGGAGCCAGAGGATTTGTCCAACGATCCTGAACCAGACGAGATGCGGATGGAGCTTCAGAGATCTGCTAATTCAAACCCAGCCATGGCACCCAGAGAACGCAAAGCTGGTTGCAAGAATTTCTTCTGGAAGACATTTACATCCTGTTAGCTTTAGAGAATTCTTCTTACCCATTTCAGACCTCTGAACCCCCACCTCCAAACCCCCACCTTGTTCCCCAGTTCCCTGAATCCTCAGCAAGAATACCACAATGAGAGCAGATGATTGTAAATATAAAACAAACAGTCATGGTGAAATTTAGAAACAACTAAATTTGATTTCAGATTGTTTTGTTAAACCTTTCCATTTCATTGTACATGATTAGCTTGGTTTGTGATTCCAGACTAGTTCTTTACAGTATCCACTCCAACTCTCACAGATGTACTATTTTTAATTCTTTGTCATAATAAAGTTTATGTTTCAAATTGTAACCCTCATATTTTGATCATTTACAATTGAAATTACTTTTTAAAGAAAGCTATGCCTTTAAACTTGTGTATTTTGAGGATTTCAGATGGGGAGTTGCAGTAAATATCCCCAGTAAATAAGATACCCCATTTCAAATTGTGTTTCCTTGTGGAGCTTGGTGTTTGTATCTCTAGGTAGGCATGCTTGAATACACATCTGTCTGCCAAGCTGTTATGTGAAATATCCAATGTTCAAAACATAAGGTGGATCTGCTTTGGAGGTCTGGGAACAGAACTTTGACTTGTGTAGTTCAAATAAAATTCTGCACTTTCAAATGATGTCTCTAGTCTCTCAATATTTAGATAAACGCCGTCTAATGGTTTACTACTTTTACAGAATCTTCCTTCACTACCGTTTTCATGATAACTGGGAAAGGAGGTTATGTCTGCCTGATACACTGACAATTTAAACCTGACTTGAGTTGAGAACTTGCTCCCTAAACAAGCATATTTGCTTTTTGTATTCCAGTTGCTGCAGGGCTCCAACTTTTCACTGACCACAGGTGAAGGTTGTAGGTTTTATTTCATCTCATCACCTAACTGGAAGAAATCAGAGCTAGCATTCCTTATTCAGATCTTAAATAATAGTCACTGAATTCTCCCACTTCCTAAATTTACAGTACAGTTGACTGAGAAGCAACCCCTTTTGTTCCTCTATCTGAAAAGCAAGTCCATTTTTGAAAATCCAAATGGCATAGTGCAAAGATAAAGATCAGAGAATTCTAAAATATGGTTACTCATAATATTACCATAGGCTAATGATGGGTAGTTTCCAAATATTTTGTGATTCAGGGAGAAACTGGCTATCCATACAGATAGTCTACTTGCATTGAATCTGGAATCAAATCCTGGCTATAAAAATAGGACTTCACTACCGTGGTAATAATTACTTCTAATAACATGCACTGGACTAGTGGGAGATCCTTGATTAATAAACAAAACATTAGGGTAGAGAACAGATCTTTGAACTGTGTATGTGGGATTCAGCTGAAGCCCACTCCTGGACACATAAACAGACACGCGGGATTCTACCTTAGAATGCCAAACCACATGAAATGAAAACATCCTCGAGTCATTTGTGTGTATCTTTTATTTAAATACCTTTAAGGAGAAATAATGTATGTTTCCCTTTAGAGATGTGACTTATTAAATTAAAGCCTCTGGTTCAATTTGGGTAAATAATGTCAGCTCCTAGTTATGGTCAAAACACAGAGAACAACTTCCCAAGCTGAGCAGAGATAGGGTGAACTTGGAGTGGGGTGGGGTAGGGAGTGTTCATTTTTCAACAGAACCTTTAGTCCAGTCTGTTTCTTAATTCACAGTATAGACAAACAACTGTTGTACAAGCAGTGATATGGCCCCTTATCAAGTGACAACTAGCACTTGCAGTACAAAGGAATGGAACATTGAATACAATTAGTTATATTCATGAGCATTCTGAGGATGCCATATAGGTGCTGAATTTCACCCATGCTCCTTATCTGCTCCTAATTCTATCAGGATGTTCTTCCCTTTAGAATCTCAAACCCATTTGGATCCTTCCCAAGTTTTCTGCATTATGAAAGATAAATGAATTTAAAAGCTAAACCAAGACAAATTCCTCTATACTCAGGCAAAGCTTCAGTTTTTGTCTATTAAAAAAAAAAGCAAAGGAAAAATAAAAGATATTAGGTGAAATGGCTCTGTTGCAATATTTTATGTCACCCAAAGTGTTTAAAACCTGGACATAATTCAAAGAATAACAAAGACCAGTTCTGCCCACTATTAGGGAGATTGACTGAAGGATCTGGTCAGTAAACTAGGCCCAGCTGATCTACACAGCTAGCCTGCTTGATTATGGATTTATCTTATCCCCAATGCCAGCCACCCTTAAGGAATTCATCCCATCTCCCCTTTTAATTTCCTCTGAGAAGCCTTTGCTTCCTCTAAGGCTCAGCTAAAGCATCACTTCCTATAGGAAAGGTGCCCTAATCTCCCTGATTACCCCCTCCTTAGATTATTAGGAGACAATGTGATCTCAGTGGGAAGCTTCCGAGATCCCGTGGAGTCAGAAGCCATAGTCAGACTCTGACTCTCTAATACCTACTGCTTCTGAGACCTTGGGCAAATTGCTTGGCCTCCATCAGCTTCAGTTTCCTCATCTGTAAATTGGGGAGATTCCATCAATGCTCTCTGAGGTCCTTCTAGCTCTAGATGTATGTTCCCAGAGGAGACTTTGACTGTGTTTCCAGCACCTAAATTCCAGTGTCTGGAACAGAATAAGGGCTTAACAAATGTCAGATCAGGTGGGGTAGCTTCCCAAGGTACAGTCAATTACAGCCACTAAACCATCGGTTGCATTCAATCCTGGTATAAGGTCCCTTGAAAGTCTGCATTTTATGGTTCTGGACCCAATATTTGTTTTGCTTTGCTCTTAAAAAGATAATTTTTGTTTTTGCCACAGCAGACAAGACCAAATGCATCATAAATGATCCACAAGCTTATTCTCTGAAAACAGTTAAGCTAAACAACATAACGCAGTGATTACCATGAATAGCACATACTAGTTCATGCTTTTGTAGTTGGCCGTTTGTTTAAATAAAAGGCTACCTCTGACAAGTTAATATTCATGTTTGTCATTGTTTTTGACCTGAGGTTGATTGTGCATGGATGCTGGCCTCATTTATCGGCAGCATGATCTAGTGTAAAAACCACTGATTTGGGAGCCAGAAGGTGGAAGTTCAGTTCTCACCTTGGTCCACACCTGTGTGATCTTGGGCAAAATCACTGGAGCTCTCCAGGCCTCAGTTTTTTTTCATCTGTAAAAGGAGAGGGTGGATTAGAGGCTTCTCTGCACCTTTCCAGCTCTCAGTCTGAGACCCAACAGAGCTGAAGCAAGCACGAAGATTATTCTTTTTGCTCTGCATCACTTCATTCAGTGCTCCTCACATTTCTTCCAAGTTCCTCATGTTCCTCATTCATTATAGAGGTAAAATTCCATTACACTCCTCCACCACAAATTATTCAGCCTTTCTCAATTGTTGGGCACAATTTGCTTCCAGCTTTTGGCTGTTTTATGTACAGTGAATGATGTCTAGACCCAGCTTTTATTTAATTGTTAGAAAAACAAATATTTATTAAGCCTCTATTGTATGCAAGGCACTGTGCTGAGTGCTAGACTGATCTGAATTCATCTTGCCTTGGCTCAAACTAGTTCTAGAACCTCTTAGGAAATTCTGCACCACAATATCTGTAAACAAGTATATGTATACATATTTTTGTGGCTATTGAGATGAAGTATATACATATCTATAGAATGTTCATGTGGCACCTTTCCTCCTAAAGAAGAATTGAATGCTTAAAAATTGATAGTGTAATGCTAATTTCATCCCTGGAATTGCTGCAAGTAAAAAGCTGTTTTCCCTTCCCAGGGACAGCATTAACTCTAACGATTCAATTGAATGAGCACTTACTGAGTGCTTGCTGGGTACCAGTCACTGTGGTAGTGTAGGGGTGGGGTCTGCAGCTGTGATCTTATTGGAGAGTGAGAACATTCCTTCTACTAATGCAGGCCAGTATTTTCTCTGCAAGTTACAGTCAGAGAGAGGTACCTAGATCACTGAGAAATTAAGTGACTTGTCCAGGGCCGCACAGATAGCTCATGTCAGAGGCAGGATTTGACTCCAGGTCCTCCTAGATATGATCCCACTCTCTTTCCACTACACCGCAATACAAAGACAAAATCAGATCAGCTCTTGATGTCAGTGTATTCTGCCAGGGACAGAGCAGGAGCAGGAAGAGTCAGCTACTTAAATATTCAATCGTAGTTGGGTTATTATTCCTTGTTTCCTCCAAGGAAGCAGGCCCCCAATCATCCCTACCTGACAATTCTGTCCACCCTTCGTCCCCTGCTCCTATCATATCATCACAGAGTGTCCACTCCAAGTCCCAGGGGCCTTTTTGCTTTCTGCATACATTTCAAAGGTATGAGGAGAACACAAGAACCATTTACCTGGCATTTCTGGCCCTCCAGATGTGGACAGCCCATCTTCTCTTTTGTTCCTACATTTCCCTAATGACATTGCTCACTCCATTTCTTCTTGAAAGTTCCTAAGTTTTAGACATTGCATGTGCCTCTCTACTGTCCTCTGTGCAATGTTTATAACCCTATAATTCAGGTACAGGTAAGTAAACACAAGAAATCTACAAAATGAAGAGAGCAGTTTCAGTGTGGTGGGCCAGACCGTGAACTCCTCATGGGGTGGTGAGATTCGGAAAGGCCTCATGAAGTAGATGACCCTCAAGCTGAACACTGAAGGAAGCAGAGATTTCAAATGACCAGAGTCATGGCCCATTAAAAGGCCTGACATTGGGAGATCAGATGATATGTACAAGGGAGAACAAGATTGGCTAGACCATAGAATGCATGCGGGAAAGTAATGAGATATCAGTGTCAAAAGAGAAATTGGCCACAGATTTTGGAGATCTTTAAGGGACAAATAAAGAAGCTTATCTTTTCTCTTAGGAGCAGTAGCAAGCCACTGTTGATTCTTGAGTAGCAGAGAGCCATTGCCAGACCTATGCTCTAGGTTGGTTGTGGACCTTCGTAGTCGAAGAGGACCAAAGTGATAGCACTTTAGGACTATCCATTGGATAACTTGTGGT